AAATATATTAATATATTATTACAATTATGTTTTAGAGGAATGATTCATTAATTTTAATTTCAGTTTTTGTCATGTAATTGATGCATTCCTATTGTAGAATTTCATTTTATAGACATATTGCCATTTATGAAGACAGAAAAGAGATGATGTTGTAAAAATGTCTATTATGATCTATGAAAGAAGATAGAGAGTAGCGAATGTAGAATAATATAATTTCTTCTGTATTTTTATTAGTCCATTAAAATTCCATATTACAAAAATATACTATTGTCAAATGTGAGCAAAAAAGAAAAACAAAGTTATATTTTATTTTCAACTATAAGTGAATTATAATTGAAAATGATCATTTACTTTTATTTAGTAACGTAATTGTTCACTCAAAGCATTGTTGAAATTATAAATTAAGTCTTATTTTTTCCTTCGTTGTAGAACTATCAATCCTTATTTATATTGATATTTAAAATAATATATTCTTATCATAAATAAGAATTTAAAGAGGATTTTCTTTTCTAGGTCCTTTTATAGAATGGACATATCAAGATAAAGAATATCTCAGAATACTTGCTCTTCTTATTTCAATACCTGTTCAACTTAAATATATTTTTGTTCAAAAATTTGAATGGCTTTTATATGTTATTGAATGTGTAAGTTTTGATTTCATTTAAACTTTATATATATATATAATTATCATGTACATCATTCAATATTTGAAAATCTTATTATTTTGTTTGGTTAGAAAATTTTTCAACTACAACTAAATGTTCACGAATATTTGTGTTCTTAAATTTTCTTTACATTAAATTATTATCATAAAATTTTTTTCAAATAGATTTTTTTTTGAATCATATAATAATATTAAATAAGAAATAAATCTAATAACTCATAAGATCAAGAGAAAAATTGCAGAGTTAGAGCTTTCAACATCTCAGCATCTTTGAATAATGAGGTGCTCTTATATATTTCGCATTAGATTGAAAATTAAGATAATAGCTATGAGTGAGAATCATAATGTTTCAATTCGATATTTTTCATTGAAAATAAAGCTATTTTTTCGAAAATAACGATTTTTTGTTTTTTATAAAACTTAACTAAAGATAGTTGAGATGGGAAAGTACGAATCTTTAATCGGGTTTTTGAAATTCTTGAATTCGATTTTTTCGATCAGGAGAGGTCTAAGGCAAAAAAACCCACCTGAATGTTATGAAACATGAATAAACTACAGAAAGTAGACTTTCATAACTGAATAAATCGAACTCAGAAATTTCGAAAAATCGATTAGAGATTTAGATTTCTTGACCATCTCGAAATAGCCTTGTCATCATCAAAAACATTGATTCAGAATAATATGAGTCTTCTCTAATTATAACATAAGTTTTCTATTTTATTATTTTTCAAAACTCTATGAGTATCCAGCATCTCAGTACCTCAGCAGCAGTTTTTCAGCATCTTCGTGTATAATTTGATGTTTGGTATCTACACACTACTATCGTGCATGAAATGATTAGAATATATAAATCGAATTCGATTTCATTTTACAAATTAATTAATTCACTAAACTCTAAATTAAACATATATTTATTTAAAATAAAGTTGATTGCTGAAGAAATTATATATATAATTAAATAAAATAATTCTCTCATATTATTTCTAGCGTTTTCATCACTTGACAAAGAATGCATTAAATAGTATTCGATATGCTGAATTTGGTATTTCAAGTTGTAATATTGGTGCAGATAGTTCAACTCATATTGGCAAACAACTTGTACCTTTTCTCAATACTTATATGCCTTATTTACAAACATTACGTCTTTGGAGACCAGATGATTTCCCTTGGACATCAAGTAACGTTTAGTTTTCATTTAAATACTATTAAAAATAATTTTTCATTTTATAATGTTATCAAAATGAAAAAGAATTGATGTTTTATTGATCAAATTCTTTTATTTGATTTTAGAAGATTTCTAAACAATTCATGAAACTACAGAGAACTTCATTGGAATTAAAAATATTTCGTGAAATTCTGCAAGATATCAGGAAACTTCTGCAAACTTCAAAAGACTTTAAGAAAACTTTGAAATCATATAAAATATAAATTAAAACTTATATTTGAGTAAACAGCTTGTTGATTATCAATAGACGAAATGATAAGTAAATAAAATGCTGAAAAAAGTTTTGGAATTTTTCTCCAAACCGATTTTGCATTTATGATCGAAGTCCCGACAAACTTTTTTTTCAATATACTTCACTCTAGCGATCTGCGGTTTTTTTCAAACGATAGATACATGAATACTTCTTCGAATGAGGAAAATGGTTTTTTTTTAATTTAGTCCTCATTATTAAAGCCATGAACGCATTACAAGACCCGGGGTCTTCTATTCTGTCTTATCGTTCACAAGTGAAAAGAGGGGTTTTCTATTATGTCCCTAAAAAAAAGTCATATTTTGTGGTAATATCAACGGCTGTTTCTCATTTTAATGCTTTTTTTTTGTCCAATATATCATTCGTCAATGAGATTATTCTACATCACCGACACTCATACAAAGGAAAAGAAAGAGATAATATTTCATTGCAAAAAAGCAATTCTTGATAAGGAGAGTGTTCTCAAAGCAATACAGACAACAAATCATAAAACTTTAGTATGCTTTGTAAAAGCATTATTTTCTTTTTGCTTAGGTTGAGGTTTGATTAGTACAGATAATACGTTCAAAGTAAAGTGTACTGCAATCTGAGTTATTATTTCACAGACAATTTAAATAAATATGGTTGTTCACTGAAAAACAGTTTATAGAAATGAGCCGTTGAATACACGTCGACAGTGTTTACAATTCTTTATGACTATTTTGAACAATACTTTTGCATCTTTTTTGCGACAAGAAAACTATCCATATTTAGAAGTCGTATTCCATAGAACACAGCTCAATGCATCTCCTCAAAGATATTTTTTTTAATTATGAATGATCTTTTCTGTGATAAGAATCTGTACAGATAGAGCGAGATCTGAGTTAATAGACAACACGATTTTACTCAATATGTTCTTATTTCAGGGAGATTTTTCATGTGTGGCCCGTTTGTATAAATGTCATGTTCATTAGATCCTATAGCCGTGGGAACAAGTTTTTTCTATTACAAAAGCGAGAAAGTTTCTTCAGAACATGACGCAAAGAAGCAGTAAAGTGACTAAAAGACACTTTTTTCGTAAATACATGTATTTCTACTTAAGTATTCTTTCTTATTACCTTTCTCTCCTGATATGTCCAGTTTGAAATTAATACATCACTATGACGACGGCAGCAAAATATTGTTCATACTGAATTTAGATATTGATATGTGCATAAAAGCTAAAATACCTCGATAAATTGCACACAATGATTTTGAAAGGTCAATTTTCTGAGGGGGCCTTCTAATGTGTCTTTTGCATCGCTTATTGGAGGGGAGTCTTCTAGTATGAGGAGGTCTTCTAATGTGTCAATGGCTTTAGAGAAATTCTGAGTTTTCTAGAAAACCTTATCTGCAATTTTCAAATTTTTGAGGTTTTGAGGAACCCAAAATGGAAGAAAATAAAAATCCTTTTCGCTCATCCCAAGCAGAAAAGAGTTCTCTTTCAAATGAAAGTAGCCCGAGTTTTGTAGCCTGAAGTATACTAAAAAACAGTTTGTACGCGTAAGAGCCCTGTTTTGCTCCTTGTTTTCTAAAAATCTCCTGAGTGGTAAGGTTTAAAGGCGTGAAATTTTTTTATGAGTGTACTTCCATGGACCAAACATTTACAGAAAGTTTCATGAAAATGCGATGCACTATGCCGAAGTTTGATTTTTGAGCGGACCCTTAATATTCATTTTACAATTGATACTAAGTTAACGAAATACTTTTCTACAGAAATAAACAATTTCATTAAGAAATCATTGAATTTTCAACTAACAATATGACATTTTTGAGTTAACATGAACTTAAAATTTTTTTTGTAATATATTAATTAGCAAGACAATAAAAGTTCATAAGATTTCTGCTAAAATAAGATCATTGAAAACAAGCAATTACAATGATAAATATCATAAAGATCATTGAATCTGAGAATTCTCATGTAATTTTATAAGAAATTATTTTTATGATATACTCTTTTAAAATAACTTAAACAGTATCTAAATCATTCAATTTTGTAGAAAATTTTTTATGAACTAAATCTATTCGAAAAGTTTTAGGAAACTTCATGAGAGTTTAGAATTGAAGTTTACTATTTCTTTCTTGTCATAAATTCATCAACAAAGATGTATAATCATTACAGAAATACTCTGTTTTATTTATTTCTTTCTTTCTATTCATGTTTTATCTATTAATTCTGTGTTTTCTTTTTTACTAAATTATTTTTTAGTGATTCTGGAAGTGAAAAGGTATAAGGAAGATGAAGAGATCATATATTAAGTGATGTTGAGTCCTAATTGTTAAAATAGAATGATACTTTTAGACTTTTGATATGTATCTATTAAATTTAGATTCTGATTAATATTGTATAGACGAGAAGAAACAAAATTTTAGATTAAATTTTTATTGATCATTTTCATCGGATGATAATAAATGAATTTAATCAAAATAATGGAAGATATCAATAGAATGAAGTTATTATACTATTAATTATAGATTATGTTAATTTTATTGAAGTGTACATAGGCAATATAAAACAATTGCTAAATCAATATAATTTAATACTAATGATGAGTCGGTGAAGTCAAAAGCTCAATTAAATATTAAAATTAACATAATCTATAATTGATAGTATAATCACTTCATTATATTGATATTTTCTATTATTTTGATTACCAATGAGTTGTATAAGAGTATTTGACAATAATGTATGAAAAATAAAATCTAATATATATATATATAAAACTTTTATTTTATTTTTTTTTTGTGATGGCTTGAACTAATTAAAAAAATGAATTGAAACCTTAGTAAAAATAATTATGAAAATGTATCAAATGACTTTTATTTCATTTAAAAATTTTTATTAAATAAAATTATTTCTTTTGAAAGATTTTATCAAAAAAAGATAAACAAAACATGTTCTAATTACTTACATTTTTTGTTTGAAAAAAGAAAACAAGAAACTTTTTTTTGGAATTTACAAAACGTTTCTTTAATATTTATTTACTTTTTTTTGTTTTATTTCTTTAAGTTCGACCAAACATTGAATCTGGAAAATTATATGGAAATTTAATGGTACAATGGAGACGAACTCTACGTACACCTGAATCTATTAGTATGATATTCGAATATATTTTTATTTTTTAGAAGAATAAATCAATTTAATAACAAATTATTATTATTTAGATGAACATGTTATTGTTTTTGAACAAGATCTATGTCAATTAGTCCAACAATTAAAAGAATTTGTTTATCTTGATATTTATGGTAATATTGATTATGATAAAGTTGAACCTTATCATTTAATAGTTAAAAAACGTTTTCCAAATAGTCGAATTTATATTCAAATATCAAGATTTTCACTTTGGATTTAATTATTATCTATAATATGATATTATATAATTATATGATAAAAAAAATTATTATAATTCTCTTTCTTTTTCTTTAATGATTAATTTCATCAAGACTTTTTGTTTTTCTTTTTGAAAAAAAATAAAAAATAAAAATAAAATTCATATTCATTCAATAAAAAGACTTTTTCTGAATAAATTTCATATATATATAACAGAATCTTTAATAAACAATCATATTAATAACAGAAATATTAATAACTTTTCTTTGATTCGTTTAGTTTATTCTTCAAACATCACAAAAAACTATCTAAAAGAAAATAATTAAATATACGTTGATTCGATCTTAATTAATATTAGAATATCTGTGTCGAAACAGTCAGCAAAGAGAAAAGTTTTTAACTTATTTAATCTGTAAAAGTGACGAATCTTTTAGAAACTAAATCAATAATTAGATAGAACTATAGATAAAACTATGTTCAAATACTATTTTCTCTTTTGTCTTCTTGAATATATGAGTAATTTGCAATATATCAGTACCATTGGTGAAATAAAATAACCGAAGAAAAAAAAAGTTTCAAATTAAAATGTTATGACCCACTGATTTTGTTACTGTATGTTAGGGAAGAGTAGAAATAAAATTTTCCGACTATCACTCTTAAAATAGCAGAGATACAGACGTTACTGAGAAAAATTACGATTCCTGCGTTAATCAAACCCAAAAGGAAAAGAAAAATATGAACACGTTACATAAAATTCTTTGTGTTTTCTCTTTACGAAAAGGTCCATTTCTCGATGTATGACTTAAAAATAAGTAAATAAACATGACTGGATATCAATAGAACGGGTACACTTTCCAGATTTCACAAAAATTGTTGATTTCGGAAATATATATATATATCTAACAAGAGAACGTTCCCAGATGTGTTCCGGGAATTTCAATTAAAATGATATAGAATTGCTAAGTAAGGTATACCTATCTCAGGTGTGAAACAATTCGGTGCTCTATTCGTCTTATTTACTACTGCTTGACTCTTGCTCTGGTGAAATGGAACACAGTATTTTTGATGATATTCTTGTTGAAAATATCACTTGTAAGCAAATGCAAATTCCACCAAAAATAATCGGTGATATTTAATTGTTGGATCCTTTTTTTTCGACAACGGAAATATTTTAAACAAAAAATTTATGATCGCATGGTCATTGATCATATGGACATGGGCATGTGTTCTAGAAACTGCATTTTCAAAACGCATTCTTTGATACATAATCATCTGACAGCTAAAAGATTCTCATAATTAATCAAATAAACTTGCCATTTAAGTGACTATATGTCGAAAGATGCTGATGATTTTGAGAATGTACACGATATATGTTTTTCGTTCGACGATGATTTGTGTTCTATGACAGAGTGTGTAGTGACCTTTCTTTCATTAGCTGTAGCCATAGCCATTGTATTCTATATTTCAACCACTTATTATAGATGATCATAAAGATTAATGAAAAACTTCTTATTTGTTATGAAACAAGTAATGCGTTATTCCATTCATTTGAAAATTGGTGTAGATATTAAAACAATCACTTTCAAAACATATGGCTGCGGTTTGTCTATTATCAAACATAGAATATGCAAAAAGAAATGAGTATTTTACGAAAACAAAGTCATAATTTTGGGTATATATCAGATATTCCGTTGATCTTTTCTCTTTAATCATTTATGACAAAATAAACAACAAAGCCTATTGCGCAGAACTATTTGCCACCTGTAAAACGGTATGCAGCTCGGCTTCAATCATCATGATTGAAGAAAAAACATAAAGAAAAATGATGAAGGAAAAATTCATAAGGAAAAACCTGTATAGCTAAACATGAGTCAAATTTTTAAAAACTGTTTCACCTATAATTTTTGTGAAACACGATCTAAAAGGAGTATTGAAGTATATAGGGTAGAAATTTGAACCTCCCCTCCCTCGATCCCCTCATAGACGTGACAGACATGCTTAGCAATGATACATCACTGACGTGACAGACGTCCTTAGCAACGGTCTATCATAGACGTGACAGACATCTTAGTAGCTACGATGCTTTACAACCATGACTAATAATAAAAATAATAATTAATAATATCATAACTAATAATAAAGTATAATTAATAAAACTAACAATGAACAGAAATAATTACTAGAAATAATTAAT